GAGAAAAGCCTGGCTCCAACTTCTTTGCACACTCTCATCAGGTATTTCTGCACATGGACAAGTCATCCTTGAACTTGCTCTTCTCCAGGTTGAACAATTCCAGCTTTTCATTTGCAGATGAGTTTCTGCTTGTACTTGGCATTGGTGGGGCTGCACCTCAAGTGCTGTGTCCAGTTTTGGGCCTCTCAGTTCCAAAAAAAAGACATTGAGGTGCTGGTGTGTGTCCAGCAAAGGGCAGCAAGGCTCATGAATGGTCTAGGGAATGAGTATTATGAGAAGCAGCTGAGGGAGTGGGGTCTGCTCAGTCTCAAGAAGGCTCAAGGGGCACCTCATTACTCCCTATGACTCCCTGAAAGGAAGTTGTGGCGAGGTGGGGGCCAGTCCCCTCTAACTTGCCTGGAGTGAGAAGAACAGAGGGAACAGCATTAAGCTGAGATGGGAGATTCAGATTAGATACTAGAAAAAATTTCTTCCACTGTTAAGGTAGTCAGGCACTGCAGTAGGTTCCTCAGGGGAGAAGGAGGAGTCACTATTCCTGGAGGTGCTCAAGAATTGTCTGGATCTGGGGCTGGGTGATCCAGTTTAGTGTCAGGTGGACAGTAGGACTAGACGATCTTGAAGGTCTCTTCTAAAATTGATGGTTCTATGATTCTATTTATTAATGATATGTCATTATTAGCAATTGGTGATCATAACTGCTTGTGTATTTTAAAGCTGAAGTAAGATATACCCAGCCAGGACCGGGGCCAAAAACACTAATGGTAAGGATGAGAAGGAAGGAAGAAGGAAGGACACATATGTTTTCTAGGCATTTCAATAACTGCTACTGGCCAGAAACAAATGTTACAACTCAAATTATTTTAAACTTCACATTTATAGTTCATTCATCTGAAAATTCTGGCCATAACATCCATGAGTTTCTCTACCCAGATGCAATCCCTGAGAGAAATAATCCTTATAATTCCAAGTAGACCTAGCCTCTAGCAGGCAGAAATTTTTTAACTCCTTAGAGGCTTCTGTTTTCTCATTTGAGGACTCCCATCTAAGAAAGAAGCACAGCAGGCATACCTGGACAGAAAACTGTTAAGTTCCATTCGTAACTCAGTGAATTGCACAGAATAATACACAACAGCTGAACCCATTATTCCACAAAAATTCTACCTTTATTCTATAAATGGACCGTTATCATTATATCCCATTGGAACCAATTCAGGTGCAACAGGATATTATGGGTAAGGTTAATGACAAGCATCAGAAGATACTATACAGGTGTTACCAGGCTGGGAATAAGCAGTTGGGTGCCATAGAGGTAATCAGTCTCCCACATCTGAAGTAATGATCGGGGGTCAAGTTTGAAATTCAAAACCTGAGCTAGAAACCATAAAGATCTACAGCTAATAAAAAAATGGACTTTGGGAAAGCCTAGTGTTCAGCATGCTACTTTAAACTCTGAACAAGGACTGCAGACTTCCAGGAGCCTACACTGCACAGGCAAGGCACTCCACAATGATTTCAAAGGAAACTTGAATGCGGCCACAGAGCAGTGAATCACAGAGTCAGACCAAACCTGCAAAGAACCAGCCCACAATGGAATCCAAATCCTCTCTCTTACCTCTCCCCAAGTCCTTTCTGGATATCTGAAATGGGATACTACAACCTCCCAAGGACAGGAGATCTCAAGGGATGTGTGAAAAAGGTCATGGTTTTTTAGCTTTTCAAAAACCAAGGTCCTTCTGAACATGTGCTGGCATCACACAGGCACAGGAAGTATAAAAATACAACATCCACACACACTTATACACCCCCTCTGAAGTGGAGCCATTAGAATGACAGAGCAACTGCTGAAAGTAACTACAAGGATCACAGTTTAGGATCTGGATGCCCACATGAAATTCCTGCTAGTACAAAATTCCCAGTTTCAATGCTTAAGCCTACTTTCAAAACATGCAGCTGTAAATTTCTAAACTTGTGCAGTTTTTAGAATTTGGAAGGAAATTTAAAATTGCCTTTAGAAAAGTCTCCATCATTTCTAACACTGAAGACTCTACAGCTGAGAAAGAAAATTGGCTCTTTTGTCATAAAAGAAATATTCTCCAAGTCAAAGATTTCACAGTATCTTAAGAAAGGTCCAAATCCCACTGGCCTATAACAGGATTGAATGCATGCATTCTAAACTACATTGGAATTTAAGTGCCTACATCCAATTGAAATGCAATTAGATTTGAGTACCTAAATCCCATAACCTGATTGAAAGCCTACCCTCAGTGTTTCACAGGATCATGGGGGCAGGTGGGACTTTGAAAATTTATCACATTGAGACGCAACTAGAACAAAAGAAGCTGCATTTAATTAAATAATATTATCTATGTGTTTACACCTATAGGATTATTTTCTTGAGTTTTATTCATTTACAACAGAAGGTGGCATTGCTGAACTACCAGTGTGACACAATTAGCAAATCCTGTATTCTTCTTCCCAGCAAAGTGCTGGGAAGTTCAGAGGTTGCATAAAGTTTGCTTACATTAATAGGCTTTCCTGATTCTGCAAGCTCTAGCCCCTAAACAAGGTTAAATTAAGCTAGTGAGCCAGCCAGCAGTAGCAAAAGTCATGGGTTTGGCACACAGGATTACAACAGCTGCACAGATTTTGATCAGGTTAATAATACATATACCAGTTATTTGGAAAACCAAGTAACTAGCAAAAAAAAAAAAAAAAAAAAGGCAGCAATTATTCCCCACTGTTGTACTCATTCAGCAGGTAGTTTTGTCGTCCTGTCGGCTCCATAAAGGCAAATTGCAGGGTACTGCCACAGGGCGGCTCATCACGCCTGCGATGCCAGCCAGCCCTTTCTGCTTACACAAGCAGCCGGAGCTGAGCCGCTCTTTCTCAAAGCCGGATTGCCACAGACCGAGCACGCAGAACAACAACCAAAAGAGCAAACCAGGAAGGGCACAGACCCAATTTTAATTCACCTTAACCCCGCATGGCTTCTCTCCCGCCAGTGAGCCGACAATCATTCCTGATGATTTTGCGGGCGGACAGAAGTTTGTGACGTGAAGGCAATGAGCCCACATTCTTCAGCAGCCAAAAATCCCACTGACTTCCTTGGTATGTCAAAATGGCCAAAAATTCAGCCTCATGCCTTGTTCCTGTACCTGCTCACTGTGACAAAATAGGTCTCGCTCTCTTCAAAGGGCATGGGATAGGAATCCTGTTCAACTGTGCCATTATGAAAACTGACCTCATCGTCACCTCGGGGCTGGTAAAAATTTTGTGTTAACCTCTACAATAAATAATGTCACAAACTGTTAAAAAAGAAGACTAGCAAGCGGAGAAATATGCACTTTTAACTATCAAATTATTCTAGATGTGAAAAAAAAAAACCTCATTTTTTTAAAAAGAGCTTTATATAGGTAGGCAACTTTATAAGTAAATATTTACAGTTAAATAAATTCCTACATGAATATGCAACTAAATTATTGTAATGGTCAAACATGAGTAACTACTATAAAAAAGTGAACAACTGGAAATTAGAATTCTCTTGTTTCTAACTTTTTTTTTTCCTATTGCTCTATGTTAAGGAATATTTTCATCCTCAGTAAGACAAAGTTTAAAATTATTATATACTTAGCATATTTAGTTTGGTAGTGCAACTTTCAAAATGTAATTGAATCAAAATTAAATCCAGACAGTGTAATGTGATGCTGAAAGAATATGATATGACAGGAGGGAAAAAAAAAATAATAATAATCACATTCTGGAGGTAACACTAGCCCCCAGGGCAGTATTTAGTGACATGGGCACTGCCCCTGGCCTGTAGTGCTGGCAGGCACGGCCCGGATCGCCTCACCCTGCTCTGCTCTATTTGTGTGCCCGTGCCCTGCAAAAGGTGCCGCGTTTACAGCAAGAGGAATTCTGCGGCACAAACAAAAGGTTATTTTCCAGAGTCACGAACACAGGAAAGATCTCAGGGAGCGTGTATCACATTTTTTAATTATTTATAAAGCATAAAACACATGAAGAGAACTTTTTAACAAAAATTGTGCTGTGCTCATCTTCTCCAGAGCATCACACTGCTGCTTACGTACCCTAAGTCACTATGACATAGGGAGATACTGATTTATTCCCACCACTATTTACGAGTAGTGCTTTCCACCGCCCATCACCCAGGAAATTCCCAGATCCCTTGGATCCGTGAAATTTCTCACGGCGCTCTACACCCGCTCCCATTGCGCTGCCCTGCGCAGGCAACTCGCGGTATAGCGGGGCTTTATGGCAAGGCTAGGTGAAGCCACACTAAGAACCCGCACTTGGCAGAGGCCGGGGGCTTTCCTGTGCCTAGGAACTGGGAATGCGGACACCCCCGACCCTTCCTTCCCTGCGCGGCCGCGCAGCCGCGAGGCTGGGACCTCATGGGCCGGCCCCACGCCGCAGGACTACAACTCCCAGAATGCCCCACGCGCCGGAAAGCGAAGCCCACGCTCGCTGGCGGGGCACGCCGGTCTTTGTAGGCCCGGCGCGGCCCCGCCCCGCCGCTCCCGGCAGGCCCCGCCCCCGCGCGGGCGGGCGCGGCGGTGGCGCGGCGGAGCGCGGCGGGAGCAGGTGAGCGGGGCCGCCGGGCGGGCGGGAGCGCAGCCCCGGCAGCTCGGGCAGCGACAGAGCGAGGCAGCGGGCGGCCCGTGCGGGAGGGCCCGCCGAGTGGAATCTCGCCGCTGCCCGTCCCGCGCCGGACGAGAACGGCCCCGCCGCCTCCGCGCGGCTCCCGCGCACCTGGTGGAGGCGGCGGCGGGCGGTGGCGCCGCGGGGTCCGGTCCCGCTCGGGCGGGACCGCGGGTACGAACACCCCGTTCCCCGGGGCGGGGCCTCGCCGCGCCTCCAGGTGTTTCCTCGGCCGGTTCCCGCAGCCGTGCGCAGGTCCCGGGAGGGCTCCCGGGCCCCGCCGGTGTCGCGGGCTCGGGGCCGCCGCTGGAGTTACGTAAAGTGGCGGCGGCGCTCCGAGCGCGGCCCCTCGGCGGCGGGGCCGGGCCGGGCGCTGCCGGCCGGTCCGGTTTGCTTCTCCTCGCGTTCGGAACCGTCAGCGGCGCTCCCTGATGGGCGGCTCTGGGGTGCGAGGTACTGCAGCTGTTCCTCGTTCCGCAGCGGGCTCTGTGGGGCAGCAATTACTCCTCCGTGCGTGGGCGGTGATAAATGGCCCCCCAGTTCATAAGCAGGTAAAAAATGTTGTTAGGTAAGTTGGCTGAATTCGGCCCAAAATGATTATTAAAAAATCATGAAACCTAAGTTGTTTCTTTGTAAATTCCACTTATTCTATAGCTGACTTTCCTCAGTAGCACTTAAACCCTAAACATCAGAGATCAGCTTGTCTGCCTTGTCCAAATAGAGGCACAATATATGTAACCAGATCGCAAATAGTATTGCATAGCTAAAAGTCTTCTAAATCCAATTACAACTGTTAAGTATGGATTGCTTTGTTTCTAATCTATTATCCTTGAATCGTGTGGCTTACATGTTTCTCGCTGAATATACAAGCCATTAGTTTAAAAAGCTTTGGAACTGCGATAGCTGCAAGCTGCAGGCAAACCCTTTTTAAGTGGTTTTATTACAGCCTATTTGCTTTACCCGCAGAAAGGGAGGTGACTGCTGTAAACACCAGGATAAGTTGGTGTCATGCTGCTCTTGTAGCATGTGACGGCCGGGTTCCCGGGACTGTCCTATCCTGTTTCAGATCTTGCAGTTCAGCACTTCCAGCAAATGTTCTCTTTATTCTCTTTTCATTCTTAGCTCACCCCGGGAATCAAACTAAACAAAATACAGGCCCCGAACAGGAAGCAAATATCTTGTAGAAAGTCAAGAAAATAGCTAGACAAGAAAGTGCAGTCTCTGGAGTATCTCATAGGTATTATGAGCCATTTGCTCTTAAAGTTGGAGTGCTGCAATGATTCTGCTGATTCTGTGAAGCTGGGGTTGGAGCAAACTGAGCACACAAACCCTCCTTGCTGCATCGAGATAAGTAAGGAGTGACATGGTTTGTCTAAAATGATTTTTTTAATGAAATTGTTCTCAGTTCCTTTTATTGTGTGAATTGGCAGTAAGCTATATTCATAGATAAGGCTGGATTCCTAAGGTTGTGAACCTCCTTTGAGCATTGTATTTTTTTCTAATATTTAGTAGCCTTCATAAAGTCCAGATTGATTTGATTTTGAGCCCTCTTGTAAATATTTTACATACTAGGAAATTGCGATACTTCTACAGTTGAAGATGAGTTTACATCTGTATTTAGGAATATATATGTGTTTGTGAGTCTGGTAATGTAATATTTTTGTATATTTCTTTCAACTCTTTTTACAAAAATAATATTCAAGTTAAGTGAAGCTGTGTGCTATATGCTCACTTGACCTGGCATTTCTGTTACTTAGAGAATACTTTCCTGTTACTTTTCAAAGTTAGAGGAATCTGTGTGTGACATAGGTGGTATCAACCCCTTTTATTTGTCTGTGGGTGTGTTTACTGTGTCAGATTGAGTCAAGAATAGCCTTCAGAAGAAAACAGTGTCATCATCAGCTTTAATACTCATCGACTTGCAATTTGGGGTGGCCTTGCAGAGTATGAAAGAAACTATACCAGAAAATGTACCCTGGGAGTGAGCTTAATGTAGAACAGCTGCTAATAAATGTCCAGGCAGCGGTACCAAATTAGAGCTGGTCTGAAAGGAAAGTTGCTGAAGCACGTACGGTGCAGGTGTTGGCCTCTCAACACCAAGGGCTTTGTCCTCAGGGTGGTCTTTGTTGAGCTCTCTTGCTTGCCAGATAGGTGCAGCTGCTCAGAAATTCGTGTGCAGTTAAGAGTCATGTGTAGTATGTAAACAAGCTCAAGATAGTAAGTTCTTGACTGGCGTTTCACTTTAAAGGAGGAAGTTCTAGGAAAGACTGTTGTTAACTATACAGTTAACTATTGTAATTGGTGAAAATGTCATTGTGGGGTTTGGGGTTTGCTTTGGTTCTTTTCATAAAGTGATGAAAAACACAGGGTTTTTTTTGCATCTTAAAATTCCATGAACTCCTAGGTTAGCTTCAACAAATAGCCTCCGAGATGTGGGTTTATTTTCCACTCCAGGTTCACAGTCATGCAACAGAGGATAATCACTTTTTACATATAGATTTTTTGATTTCTTTGCTGTCTGGACTCACTTAAGTTCTTCCTTTTACAGGAATTTAATCCTATACCTCCCAATAACATAGCTAGCTGGGACATTGTTTAAGGGCATGCTTTCAATTCCTTGTGCTGGTAACATGGAAGAGTCACTTAAGCAGTAAGTGAAAAAGGAGTTACCTTTTTTAGTGTTTAATTTAGATACTGTTCAGAGAATATTGCTAGAGAAAATTTATCAGACGATGCTTCACACCTTGCATTAAAGAAAAATTATTGCAGAGCTTATTGTTTGAGGCAGAAAATAGATTTTCTTACTGAGGTATAGGTGAAAAAAAGGATTTAGATGTAGCTCCAGGAGTACATCTTGTCTTGGAAACAGGTGTGACTTGCTTCTCTCACATGGAGTGAGGCTGAAGCAGGTCAGATGTCTGACATGTGGCTTCACTCACAGAGCCAGGCACAGGACTGTGCTGCAGCAGAAGCTGCTAGATACTTCAAATCCCATCCCTGGCCAGCTGAGTGAGTCAGCAGGGTTTATGGTACTGACAGTTCAGCTCCCTTCATATGCTACTGAGTGTCCAGCCTCATTCCACAGTGAAGCAGATAGTCCCAAGAAATGACTGCCAGTTTGAAATTGTTCTCCTGGTCAAGTTAACTGAATTTTCTGACAGACAATGTATGAAGACTTCCCAATGGAGCTGGAAGGATGACTTTGTTTTTTCCTTCACTCAAGGAATTTGTTCAAGAGAATTTTTCAGTCTTCCTCGTGGTAGTTCATTTAAAATTTATGTCTTTATTCCTGTGCTCTAGGATTAGTTTAGAGCAAGCATCGCTTCATACTCACAATTAGGAATGTCATTTGGTTTTGCTACAGTAGATGATTGATTGTCTGATGTGAATCAGGTTGGCGGTTTCCCATTTCACAGCTTCCTGCAGCCTCCTGGTTGATTAGTTTATTCCTGGGTAGATGGATCATGGCTCAAATCCTGTTAATCCAAAGAGGTGGCATTTAATTTGCATCTTGTAAGAGCTCTTCTTTGTGTACTTTGTTAAAATGAGGAGATGGTGCTTTTTTTGGCAGTTTGATACTGCTGTCTTAATTTTTTTTTCTGAAATGTATACACATGCATGCAAAAGACTCATTTGAAATGCTTTTGTTGAAGAAAAAATTCTTTTTTTTTTTTTTTTTTTTTTTTTCCCTTTTTTTTTTCCATTTTAATCTTCTGGAATGGAAAACTACCTGCTGTAACAACCCTGCTTTTGATATGCATGCTTGTAAAGCATAATTGCACCAATTCAGACTCCAGAAAATGTGCACATTTAGCATTGTGACAAATGTCTGCAGCATTATATACAACAGAGTTGTTTTGAAAAAATATTTTGCATTGAAAACAGATCCATTATACTTCAGGGAATGTGTAATATGCAAGTATGTTTTCACCTAAGTTGTTTACTGTCATGTCTTTTGATTCATGTCATGTGTATTGTTGCCTGTGTGCTTGGCTTGCATAGTTTGCAGTGGATGTCTTATAGAACCAATTCTGAGAAAACCTTTTGTACCATTTAGGTGAAACAGTCACTGAAAGTATACTTCTTCTTACATGACAGAAAAATTGCTGACTCTTTGGATAAAACCAAATAACACTTAAGTCTTAAAGGACAAAATAATTTTTTCTTTTGTAATCTTGTTTGTCCTCTTTGCTGTTTTAATTTTAAAAGTTGTGGAAGACAGAACTTTTGTAAAGTAGTCTGTCAAATGGTTGAGATACAACCTAAAAGCCAGATTCTTTGTGAAATTGTTTTACCATCATTACTGCTGTGTACCATCTCAGAGCTAATACAGATCTTTTTCCCAAAGCTTGTAGTGTTGCTTTGATTTAAAAATGACAGCAATATTTTCTGTCCTTAATTGCAGATACTGTTCCTGAAAACAAGAGGAAACATGGTTTATATAGCGAATGAAGCTTAAATTCCTGGACCAAAAATTGAGGGCCTTTTTTCATGAAGGATGGCAACGCCATATGTTCCTGTTCCTATTCCTATTGGAAGTTCATCATCCAGCTTTACAAACAGAAACCAAAGAAGTTCTTCCTTTGGGAGCATTTCAACAAGTTCGAGCTCCTCGAAAGGACAGCTGGAGGACTCTACAGTTGATAGTTTTAAAAAGATGAGCGTGCCTGACCAGATTGGTTCCACGTCATCTGCGTGTAGCAGTCCCCTTGTTAGGACTAAATTTACAGGTCTGGATACATCCATAGAATACAGTACACAGCCTGTAGAAGAAATAGAGCAGAATGAAGATTCCAGGACCTGGGAAGATCGACCATCCACACCTACTATTCTGGGCTATGAGGTGATGGAGGAAAGGGCAAAATTCACTGTAAGTTTTGGGTGTAGTATAGTTGATCCTGTAATGACAAGATAACAATTGAATGTGCTTTGCATTGTCTTTCAGTAATTAATCCTGCAGTTCAGGGATGTTATCAGTTTAGCTTCAAAGTACTTCCTGACAGGAAAATACCATTCTTATTATACAGGTGGGAAAACTAGGACTAGAAAGCAGTCTTTCCTGTAATTGTGTGTGTGGAATAGAAGGAATTAATTATGTTTCATATATCAATTTCTGCTGGAAAAGTCAGGAATTCCTTGAAGCCACAGTTCTTATGAAATGGAAGTTGTGTCAGTTCTACGTAGTTGAACTTTTTAAGTAAAATGTAGTCTTTTATTTGTCATGAGTAATAAGAAACCTTGACATTAGCCCTTTGTAGTTATAAGTAATTTACAACATTTCTGTTGAAGTGCAAACATGTAGATTTCAACTTCTTGCCCAGCTCAGTTTCTAGTAAGGGGAAATCTGTTCTGCAGACAGACTGAGAAGTCGCTTATGCCATATCTTGTACCAGAACAGCAGTCTATCTGGTTTATATTGATTTTTCTCGAAGTGCACTGTAGCTGGCAGTTCATTTTTTTTTGCATGCCATAAATATATCAGTGTACTTCCACATTTGTTTTTATGCGTGTTGTTGAAATATTTCTTTGAGATAATACAGCAGTGCTTGTGGGACTGATGGCTGTTTGTTACTGATTATTGATTACATTACTTAAGATGAACAATATTAATCAGAAATAGGTAAGGAGAAGGAAATAGCAGACCAGTTTTTTTTTCCTCCTATTTTCTTTTAGATTAGAGAAATGCATTAGAGAAATGCACTTTATGACAGTTAAATACTAATGAAATCAAGATCTTTTCACAGAAAGTTAAGTAATGATGCTTTTTAATTATTTGAGAATGATACCCTGTCTTTTCCTGAGATTTTCAGCTTCTAACATCTTTGTGCATGTTAGCATAGGAGAAGAGCAGAATTTTTTTAATGGGCAGATTGGAAAAATTGTTTTAAATAATAACCTTCAAAACTAAAACAACAGTTGATATTGTTATATGTACAATAATTAGTCTGCAAATACCACAGAATCATTTAGGTTGGAAAAGACCTCTGAGATCAAGTCCAGCCTTTGGTCACCCCCTTGACAACAAGATACTGGTACAAAGTGCTACCTCCACTCATTTCTTGAGTAACTCCAGGGATAGTGACTCCACTACCGCCCTGGGCAGCTCGTTGCAATGTTTAACCTCCCTTTCCATGAAGGAATTCTTCTTGATGTTTGATCTGAACCTCCCCTGGCATAGATTGAGGCCATTTCCTCTTGTTCTGTCACTGGTTGTCTGGGAGAAGAGACTGACCCACACCTGGCTACAGCCTCCTTTCAGGTGGTTGTAGGGAGCCATAATGTCTCTCCTGGGCCTCCTTGTCTCCAGGATAAATGTCCCCAGTTCCTTCAGCCACTCCTCACATGACTTATCCTCTAGACCTTTCACCAGCATGTTGCCCTTCTTTGGACATTCTCCACTGTGTCTTCCTTGAAGACATTGCCAAGACATATTCCAGTGTGCCTGTAAGGTGTTCTTCTGTATTAACAATGATAACTTTGTCTCTTTATTGTATGTGGAAGGCCAGGTCACGGTACAAGTGAAACATTCTTCCATTGTAAAATGCTTGGATGCTTTTTTGCTCTTCCTGATTTCACTTCTGTTGCTGAGTTGGCTTCTGAAACAATTAACTGTTTGTTTTCAGCTGTGTGTTCTGCATGCAGTTTGCTGTTGTGCATTAAAGCCAGCAAGAAATTAGTCCTAAGAATTTGAGTTGCTTTTGCAATACTAAATCAGTGAGATTTAGAAGACAGTGGAAATCAAATTAAATCACTAGTAAAAGAGAGGAGACTCAAATACTGAATTCTTTGTTTTACTGTTGGTTGCATGTCATAGTTTCAAAAAATAAGAATCTGATTAAGCTGCATGATGTCCAAGCTTTGGGACTTAGATGCTAATGCATGTTAGAGTCCATGGTTGCTGAAGCTTATGTGAGAGAAAACCTAGGCTGAAAAATATCTCCTTGTAAACATTTAGTCTTAAGTAAATTTACAGTCCTGGAATCTTCAATTAGCTTTTTTTTTTTTTTTTTAGCCAAGTAGAAATGATAATGAGGTGCTGAATCAGCCACAGAATGTTACCACATATAGGTGTATTTTCATTCATATTTTTTTATTTATAGAATAAAGCAATTAATGTTTGTGTGGAATCAAATTAATTTGTTGATTTAAAACCTTAAAGAAAAGCCTAAAACCACCCAACCACCTTTTTTTTAACTTTGGCTGGGAAACCAAACATGTTTGTTTCAGGTTGCCCATAATTTTGAGGCCAGTAATCACAAGTTGATTGCACTCCCTTTTACAGTTAAGTTCGCTGTAATTGGTGAACTTTCTTTTTTAAGTTATCTAATGTTCACTTGGAAATTACTCCATTATTTCTCATATACATGTTCAGACAATGCTTTTGCAGAACTTAGAGTAGAATACAAGAATAGAATACTGATTAGCAAGTAAATTCGCATATTCCAAAGTTTCTTCTTCTGTGTGTTTTACTGTGTACTAGCAAAGAGTCTTCATAATTTTGTATTTATTTCTTAATTTTATTTATGAAAATAAAACTGCTTATACTTTTAGAATGACAGCAAAGTAATATTTGGGTACACATTTATAAAATGCAAGGCAGAAAAATTATATTTTAATGATGGTTTTGTAAGCATGTCCTGCAGCTTGAATTTTAAAAGCTAATAGCTTTTTCCTCTGTCACAATCTATGACTTCCACAGATGATGTAACTTGAAAGTGAAATTGTGTTGAAAACATTGATAGCAAGTACTTGCTGAAAAATTGCTTTTGATTTGCACCATAGCTATCTGTAGTTTCTGTAATTATCTGGAACTTAATATATTGTGGAATACAAAATTGCTAGTAACAGTCTCAGACCTGTACAGAAGTTGGCTAGCACTGGGGTTATCACATATTGGGACTGCAATAAGCAAAATACACTTACCAGCTAAGACAACCTGCTGTGACAGCGTGAGGTACTGGAGAAGATTTTACTACATAACAGATTAGAAAATGCTTTAAATAGCATTTGATTAAATGAGGGATTGTTCATAATTATAATTCTAAAAATACCTTTTTCTTTCTTGTATTATATTTTTTACATACAGAGTGGGCAAAATAACCCAGTACAATTGCAGAACCTACGTTGGAGGGAGTAAGGTTATGACATTAGACACTGTTTAATGTTGTCTAGTTGAAGTTGTGTTGTTAGATTTATTGTGTTCAGGTATTGGAATATTAATCCTCCTAAAAAGTAATTGTAGTATTACCCATCATCATTGTTTTGTTTCTTTTTCCATTTGCCTTTAAATAGGAGTATGGTGCTACTGTGCTGTTGTGCTGCTAAATCTGATTCAGAGAATCCATTACTTCAATTACACAGTGATGGTATCATCATTCTGATGCAGTTTTCTAGTGAAATCGTATTTGCCTGGAAAGACAAAACCTAGTGTTCGGGACAAATGCAAAGGAGGATGTAATTTTATTCTGCATCATTTCTCCTTGTGAAGCAAGTCAGAGGAGACATTTTCAATATCACAGTATTTGATTATTAACAGTCATCTTAAAAATAGAGAGGCCTCCAGGATCAATGAGTAAAACTGTAATTTAGCAAAGGTTAAAGTAGACCTCTGAAACACACTTCCCTTACTTCTTTGATAGCCAAGCCTTTTGTTCTGCTGGGCAATACATTCTTTCTTACAGACAGAAATAGTTATATGTATTTAGCAATTACAGGAACTACTTCCATAAATTCTGAATTAATTTAAACTCTTTGTACTGATAATTGTTATTTGCATTTCTTTTACTCTAATTAAGATTTTTTTTTATCCATGAGTTTTATTTAATTAAGAAACAGAGGATCATTTCAGCCTTCCAGACAATGCAGTGTGAAGTTTTGTGCATTTTTCTGATATTTCTGTCTTTCCACACAGGTATACAAAATACTGGTGAAAAGAAATCCAGAGGAAAGCTGGGTGGTTTTCAGACGGTACACAGATTTCTCCAGGCTTAATGACAAGGTGCGAATTATAAACTGGTAAATTCTCTGCTATCTTACCTCACTTCTCTCATGTCTTTTTGTCATATTTTCTATTTTTTTTCTGATTTTAACACATACGAAACTAATACTGTATTAATGACTGGAAAAATATGATTCCTCATTTTTTCAAAGATACACGAAACAGCTACCGCTGATGTAAAGAAGATGTAACAACTTCATCTGAAGCTGTTAGTGTGCTTCAAACTTTTTATTTATTCCTATTTTATATTATAAAGGAATTAACTCTTGAATACTTATCCCCTGTATGGAAGTAGAACTGGGGGCTGTATTCTCTTGCAGGAATACAGTAGTTGCTTAGTTTTTCTGTGTAACAAACTCAAACTGTTTTGTTAATCATAAAACTGAAGTTTCATGAATATAAATATATTCTTTGTAAGTTGTTTTCAGTGTCTTCAAAGTTAATAGTGAAATATTGTATCAGATCTTTAAATATGGAGGAAACACCAGATGAATAGGAATTCTGGGCCAACAACTTAGTATTTTTAGAATACTTGAAAGGAAAAAATGCTTGTCTGAAAGGCACAGGTTTTTATGATTGGTAAATAGTGTTTAACTATCAAAAGTAGAGAAACAATTGCACTTTTCATTTTCATCGTTTAGCACGCTTTCTGCCAGAATGTTCTTTCATGTTTCACCATGAACCTTGTTTCTTTACCCATTGTGAGGGATTTTTTGTACAGGTTATCACTTTGGATTTGTGTCCCTAATCAACTAAGAGCTAAATTCAGCTGCAGTTTTGAAAATGGACTTGAACTTTAAAATTTCTCTGGGTTCTCATTCAAATAGGTTAAACTATCTTCTAGGCTACCTTTGAAACACCAGTGGTGTTTAAATTGCTAAATGTAAATTAGTTTAGAGATTTCTTTCTGAAGAAATTCCTGTCTTAAATACAGTCTATCTTAAATTAAGGAATGTCTTGGTATTGGCAGAAGCCTGACTTCTTTGGAGACAAATGATCTTGGTATGTCAACTCAGGTTTTGAAAGTCCAAGTCATACAGCAGTTTGCATTTTGAACAGCTATGTCAGGTCAAGAATTGGCTTACGTCTGTTTACTTTTGATGTGGTTGTCAGTGGTTTTAAAAATTAAAATGCCAAAATATCTATTAGAATAAATACTTAAATTTTACACATGAAGCCCTTAGTCTTTGTCATCAAATGTTTGGCAAAAATAATTGGCTTTTACCATTATTTCTAGGTATTAATATTTCTGTTTAAAAGAAGAATCTGTATTTTTTAGAATTTGTGTCACTATCTGAAGCTTTTTCACCTTTCAGTATACATCTAAATCATTTACTCTTTGGTCTGTAAGACATTATATTTTTTATAATACAGAAATGTCAGCTCTAGGAGCTTAAACCACCATTCAGGAAGCATCAGAGAATTACAAAATAGTAACATAATAATAGTTTGAAAACACATAATGAAATGGCCATTCTTAAGAAGCAAAAAGTTTACCATTTCTCCCCAAGACTGTGACTCATGTGACATGTGTAATGTGTCACATGGTGATGCAGGAAGGAGTAGGAAAGGTGCTGGATCCAAGCAAGCAATCACAGCCAGAATAAGTTGTCAGACCCGTGGGTTTCCTTGCTGTGTCCGAGGAGAACTCAAGAAAGAATGCCTCAGAACTGTGCTGTTGAGAATTAATTAGACCCTGACAGCAGCTGGGTCTTACATTCTTCATCCACAAAAGGAGTAATCTGTGGGTAGGTGTACTCTCTCTCTTTAGGATTAAATTACTTGATCCCTGTTACCAGACAGGTCAAAGTACCATTAAGCAGAAATCGGTGTGGTTGAAAAGCTTTCCCAGTAATGGTTATCTGCTGTCTTCTGTACAACTATCAGGAACTCGTTTTGTTACATTCCATGGGTTCTGTTCTATTCAGATACATTCTTATATATATATATGGCATTAATGATAACTTGGTAAGAGATGAAGGAACTTGGGAGGACCAAATATAAACTTGAAGATACAAAGAAGACTCTAATATCAAGATGAAGTTCAGTAAGAGGAAAACAGACTTAAATAATTAAATTTGGAAATAAAGATCAAGGCTTTAACAATAAACCATTCTGTAAATAAGGAACTCATATTTATCATGGGCTATTTGAATAAACAATACTTGTGATCTTTATAAAGCACCTCATGCTGTGAAACAATATTTACATAAGCAAAGGTGAGCCATTAATGTGTTCTTCCTTTAAAGTATGTAGGTTGAGAGATGCTATTTGAAGTGCAGTGTCTGTTCTAATTTTTCTAAAACTTAATCTGGTGAAAGAGCTGCCCATTATAATTTTCTATCATAGCAACATTCATATTAATATAATCTGTGTACACAGATCATCTCCTGACAGAAGTTGGCTAGATCCTGTATTCAGAAAAAAAGATTAAACAATTCTTGTGGGAGCTGAGATACCGGATTTTATAAAACTGATTTGCTTTTCCATGGTGGTTGTAAATCCTCTCCCAGATTTTTCTTTCCAAACATAACTTCGAAAAATTGTTTTTTTATAAAAGTTGTTTTTATTATCATGTATATTAGAAAAATAATTTACACCCTTGGAGAGGTTAATTGTATAAATTTATGCTCCCATTCACTTGTATATTTTATTTCTGAATTCAAATTAACAATCTGGGTGTTTCTGATGTCAACTACACCCCATTGTTTTTAAGTAACTCAGAAATGCAGTTTTGCATGTTACTAGGGTTTGAGCCATACTTGCTTATTGAAATTTTATTATTCTGGGTGTACAAAGTGCTACTCTTTACAAGATATCATGCATGTGTTGTAATTTATTCTTCTAGCCCCCCAAGAAAGACAAGTTGCAGATTTGCAGATCTGTAATGGGGTTTTATTCTATATATATGTATATGTAGTACTTATTATCCTTGAGTAGTTTAGAAGAAATACCACTGAAATTATTATTCATCTGATACTTGTTTTTAGTTTTCTTATGTTTACAGACTCAGGCTGTAAACAGCAGACTCAGACATTAAATAACAAAGCAAAGGTTTTCATTCCTATTTTTGTGTGTTAAATTTGAGGAAAAATACAAAGCACTCTGTTGCATAAGGTAGCAAGTGACAGAACTCTAACTGCAGTTTAAGTTGTAATTTGGATTATACTTATGGCTGAGACTTATCTTGTGCTTGAACTTTAACAGAAGTCAGAAATGTCTTATAAATCCGAGTAAATTCAGTGCCTGTGGCAAAATTAGTATTTTTTCTCAATTTTTTTTTGTCTTTCATTTAAATTTCAGCTAAAAGATATGTTTCCAGGCTTTCGGTTGGCCCTTCCGCCAAAGCGCTGGTTTAAGGATAATTACAATCCTGACTTCTTGGAAGATCGACAGCTGGGGCTGCAGGCATTCCTCCAGAACCTAGTAGCTCACAAAGATATTGCTAACTGGTAGGTGATTAACCTTTGCTGGTTCATTTGTGGCTTTTTTCTCTTTTTTTTTCTTTTTTTGTGGCTATATTCCTCTTATAAAACTCCTAGACTCCAGCAGTGTGGTGAGGGATTTCAGTAACATTCATGTTGTGCATTTGGTCATTATGTGAATTATTCAGTGTCCTTTTAAATTTAGTCTCATCTTAGCATAAAAAAGTGCAGTTGCAGTGTTTTGTACAGGGATAACTAAAAGCTGTCATATTTAAAATGTTAGAATAGTGCCATGTTTATTCCTAAAATGTTACTTCTCTGTGTTTAATGCAGAATTGATAACATTGTTAATTTATACAAGGCTTTCACAATGGAGAGTACCTACACTATTACGCAGTTAATTCTTAAAATGTGTATTAAACTACAGGTTTTTTATTGACATGACATGAAAGGAATTTACAGGTTCCTGTACATAAGTAAATGTAAATCACAAATCAAGGAAGTCTTGATAGTTCAGAAAACATAATGTGTTTTTTGAACAGCAAAAGTGCAAAGATTTCTTTCAACAGCATCTTTTTTGTACAAACTGGGAGATTCTTCCAAAGCAGGAAAATGACCAGAATGTAATTCTGACAAATGAAATGTAAAATAATTTTATTACGGACTAGAAGAGAATTTAAGTAAGCAACTTGCTAGAGGCAAAGCAGTTATCGTTAAAACTTTTGTCAGCACCAGAAATAAAAAAGTTAAGGTTGCTATAGTAGAGATTCTTCGAGGAATGAGTCTAAGAACCTGTCATCATCTGAAACTTCATTCAAAATAAAGAGTAAGAAATGTTCTAAAGTAAACCTAATTCCCTTGAGACGTTTAAAGGAAGAAAATTTTGAAATTGCCAAGCTGTGCTGTGGACTGTTGAGATCATATAGTGCTCATACCTACTTTACTTTTTAGTAGAAGGGGTGTTACTACATTTGACGTTTTTATAGGGCGTTTGACTGCTGAGTCTGGAAACTAGGGATTTGTACATCAGTCTGACTTTGGTACTGCTTGTAGTAAAAAAAAACCCAAAGTGGTAAGTGGATAAATAAAAATTATGCAATGTCTCCTTTAGAGACAAACGAGTAGTTATGACAGGGCTTGTATAAAATGGTTAAAAGACAAGGGGGAAAGCACTGATAGAAATTTAGGGGTGGTGCCAATGGAATGTTAGATCACAGTTGCGGACACTTGAACATCTTGAAATTATCTGGAGAATGGAATGAACAATGAGATCACAAACTATTGTTGAAGGATCCTGAGGTACTGAGTGACTAACATCAATTTTTGTGTCTTGAAGTAGAAAATGACACCCATAAGTACACCCGCACAGATTTATGAACTCAGCTGGTTTTGCAACTTGGAAAATTACTATTGGTATTGATACCACTAGTTTCCTGAATCAGTTCAGTACTCAGCAAAAGTCAAAAAGTTTCATTAAAATCATTAGAGGAACTTCAAAGGGAAGAAGTTATTGCTCTGGGAATCTGAATTGTATTTCCATATAGTTCAGTGCTAAAGCACAGCATTCCATCTTAAAGGAGGTGTCTGTTAGAGGTACAGAGAAAGCAAGCAAAAACAGATGAAGCTGCAGAAAAATTTCCCTGCAAGAAGAGTTCTCTTTAGTCTGTTGTCTTAGATGAGACAAACAGGGCATGTGAAATCATCAAAGGTGAGAGGGAAGATGAGTAAGGAATATTAAATATTTTGATGATTCATAGTCATCCTGAGTATGTCATGCTGAGTGGCAAAGCTTTGTTGTGAGATGTCAAAGATTAAATGGTTTAAAAAAGAAATGGGGCTCAACTTACGAGTTTCTGTGTCAGTGGCTATTACATATGATTATACGAGTGAGGTATGCAGCTGAGAAGTTTAAAAACTTCCTAATAATTAAATTACGTAAAAATAGGTGTGCTAAAAAGAAAAGGAATCAATCTCATCCCTAAATATAACTTTTGCTATTCTGCTGGGGACACACTAGTGAATGGAATAGACTTGGTTAAATAGATCTGAAGTCTTTATGCTTCATATTGTTGCAGCTAGTTTAGCATTTCAGCTGGCTTATTTGTATCTTAGTGATGGATCATATTGGACAAAATAGTGTTTGTCGTATTTTAAGGCAAATATTCCAAATTGAAATTTTTAGACTGCATTGGGTAACATATACAAAAAGGAATTAAAATGCTTGTGGAATCTGTTTTTTGGCCAATAAAGAGATGGTTAACTGAAATGCAGTTTTGTAGTACTTTTATGTAGGCTTCTGCATGAAGACAAAAATTTTTAATACATTTTATAACCTATTGATATGGTTCTAATGTTTGGATCTGTGGAAGGTCTGAATTCCTCAGGAAGTTATTAGAATGAGGGAGATTTGACCATCTAATATATTTACCCACTTACCACAGAATAAATTTACTATTAATGGGAATTAATACTTGTACCTCACATGAGCAGTGGTGAGCATTTCACCCTGTTTTTGCCTTTAAAACTCAACATTTACTTCTCCTGTTTTGCCAATAAATCAAACTGCTTGGTTCAGACCTAAACCAAAAAAGCCTTTTATCTTTGTAGAGAAGTCAATTTTATTTCTCTTTATGTACTGTATTGACAGTGGGAAATTTGCCCTTCAGGGATAGGAGACCTCATTTCGTGTACCTATTTTTTAATAAAACTAGATTCACAAAGTATTTTAAAGATAAAATGGAGGATAATATATGCAGGTGGCTAAATTTAGAGTTTGTGGTATATAAATTCTCATGTTTTATCCTGTATTGTAGATTCAGTGAAAGATCAAATTGAAATTCACCCAAAGAGTTAAAAAGTGGTCAGAAAATTTCATATAACTCATTAAGTGGGAGAAAGAAGTTTAACCTGCTAAACAGAAGCATCATCTGGCTTTATATAGATGACAGAGCTGTCCTGTCTCCACCCTGTATAAGAAGCTTGGAAGGGAGGAACTTGGTCAGCTTGGAGTCAGGCATCCTGTGAGCTGCACTGCCCCTTTCCCCTCCCTAGGGCTGGCACTGCTCCCCCTGGAGAGGGAGGTCAGCCAGCACGTGTGAACAGCAAGCTCTGGCACAGGACTGAAAAGATCCCTGTGGTACTTTAAAGGCAGAATCCTCCATTCATGAAATGAAAAGAAGAGGTGTGCCACATGCAGAGGAGAGCAGGGTCAGAGCAGACTCTCCGAGCAAAGCTAGGCTGTGAATAAATGTTCATGCCATCAGGTGCCTATTTTAGAAACAACAAAGTGAATGCTCAGTGTATTTTAAATAAATGTTCTTTAGAGTCTTTTTAAAACTAAAATGATAGTGTAATGCGTGATTAGTGTTTGAAGAAATTTCTCCTCATTTGGTTTGCCACATCTGAAGCTGGTTGATTAGGATGGCAGCTGGATGAAAGTTTCCTTTCTTGTGTTTGTGCTTTGTGAAAACCTCAAATGCAGAGAATGAGTGGAAAACTGAAAATTACTGCCTCTTCCTTGGGGCCCAGGTGGGAGGAAGAGACAGGAAATTAAGTCTAGATTACCATTTTTCATTTTTGTATGCTCATTGCAGTAGGAGATGATTTAAAGATTTACAGTAGTGAGAGGAAGCACAGCATTGCTCCTAAGTTGCTGCTTGCTAATTAATTGTGAATACAGTGTTCTGATTTGAGGTTATTTGAAGAAGAATTAATTCAGCTGAGCAGGAAACTCTTAAAAAGGTGGCTGAAGGGGACATGTTTGGAGATGCTTAGGAGTTCTGTGAAAAGTAATCTAAATTTGGAAGACAGAATGAGTCAGATGCTTGAAATACTCTGTAGTAAACCACAGGATTACACCTACTTCCTTCTTCTGGCCTTTGCAAAACAACACACAGAGCGGGGGAGATGGCAACTGTTGCACAAATCCAAATGGAATGCATTTGTTTGAAATGTGTATTCAGAGATGGCTATGTAGTAGATCCATGACACATTGTGTTCTATTATTTTATAATTTATTATTTATACAAAAATATACACTGTATATATAAAAATTACATAATGTGTATGTCAATGGATTATGATGATCTTTGCAAAATGGAGATAGGTGTACATGTTTTAGTACTCATGCTTAAATGCCCTGATACTACCTGAAGGGATCTGCATATGGATTTTGACAGCATACTTTTCATCCATCGTATAATACTAATTTTATAATACTTATTTTTCTCCAGGATAATTATTTTCAAACCTCTTCAATACCAAAGTAATAAATTTGCCAATTGTCATGTAGCAACAAATTCTATGACAATTTTTTAAAAATCATGAAAAATCATGTTCTGAAACTGCTTGCTCATCTTCATAAGTTACATTCTAAATACTGTCCCTGGTCAACACATACAGCTGAGACTTACTAGTTTGTTAACTATTTATTTGTTAATTGTTTTAAATACTTGGGAGTAAATTTGAGGATGTATATTTTTGTGTCAGCTAAAGAAATACCTCCATTTTGTGATCATTATTAAGTGTTGTTGCTGGTTTTGTACTTCCAGTAATTCACTCTCTTTTATTTGGTAAAGCCTTGCAGTGAGAGAATTTCTTTGTCTGGATGATCCTCCGGGTCCTTTTGACAGTCTAGAAGAGAGCAGGGTAAGTGCTAAATAGTAGGATAGAAATATAATGCAAAAAGCAGGTGTTTTTAGAATATTGTTAGATCTGTATAATGATACAGAATGAAAAACTTCTGTTTCTGTTCTTTCACAAAAATCACAAAAGGATGTGTTTCTAGAATGGGCATAGTCTGATAATTGGTACACACTGATCATCTTTGATTGCTGTACTTCATCCCTGTCCCAAAATACATATCTTCTTTTTTGCCTTTCATGAGCCATGGATGAAGTTTATTTTTTAAAGCAACTACTTATGTAATGCACCTACTGAATATAAGGAGAGATTTTATAAGTTTATATTCAGCACATTGTTACAGTGCTTATACCTTAGACTTCAGGTCTTGCAGGGAAATGTTTCTTGCTATAAAATGACAGAATCATGGAATGGTTTGAGTTCGAAGGAACCTTAAAGATCACCTACTTCCAACACTGTCATGGGAAGGGATGCCTTCTCATGCAGTGAATGCAGTTAAATGATTAATTCTCCCCGCCAAAAATAGTGTTCTTGCAGAAAACTAAGTAGTGTAAAGTAGTGTTGTAAACCAGCAGCCTTTCAACATGCCTATGAGCACACTGAACAAATAATATTGTGTGCTGCAGTCTGTTTTCTTAGAAATAAATTTTACTGATATGCAGTGCTGTATCAAGATTGTCTAGAGCAGATGATCTTCTTTTTCTTGCTTTGTAGAATAACTGTGTTTTTGAATTGCATGTATATTGTTAGTCTTGCAGAAATTATGAATGTTAAATGATGCTCATTCAACTAAATTTATATTTGCCAGCTTGTTTTGCATGTGTGTAGGATTGCCTTGGTTCTCATTACGTTACTATGTGCATGTGAAAGATTTGGTATGGTTTTTGTGTCACAAGCTCGTATTTGATTTCTATACTGTAGGAATATAAAAAGATAAAAGACTTTAGGTAGTGTAAAAAGGCTCTAGAAAGTAGACATAAAGTTAAGAAAGGTTGGGAGACTTAATAAAGTTACTTACCTTTTTGTATTCCTACACTGTACAATCCCTTTCCATCACTGATATTTAAACTGATGGAATTTTTTTTTAATTACCATAATTATTTGTTCCAATAATATAAAAAATTTAAGTGCGTTCTTCATTGAAATTTCAGTCATGCTTGCTGTGGTGAAATCTGTGTTATTCTTCCACTGGAATTTAATCAAACCATTGAAACAGCTGTGCTGCTGTAGTTTTAGCTATTACCAATTCCTGTGAAGTTGTTGAGACAGTTGTTTTCCAAGAGATACCACACCTTATTTATAGAGTGACTGGTGTTGGAATGGACTTCTTGAGATCATCTGTTCCAGCCCTCCTGACTCAAGTAAGGTCTGCTACTGCAAGTTGCTCAGGTCCATGTCCAGTAAGGTTTTTAATATTCTACAGAGGAGACTTCACAGCCTTTCTGTCCAGCCTGCTCCAGTGGCTGACCACCAGTGCAGTAAAAAGGTGCAACCTCTCAGGTCCCATGGACATTAGTATATCCAGTTTAAGTGCTCCCTGATCTGGTCTTCTCCCACTGCAGATGAGTTTGTCTAGACCTTCCTTCTGGCTGCAGGGTATTAATTACTCAAGGCTGTTTTTTCCAATCAACACAACAAGTCCGTGGTTTCCCATCTTTCTTTTGTTGATGACATACTTGTAGAATCCTTTTTTTTTTTTTTTTTGTTTCTTTTCACATGCCTTGCCTGATTCAGCTCCAGGTTGTCCTTCACTTTCATAATCCTGTCCCTGTAAGATTAGACAGCAGCCTTATGTTCCTTCTGTGTCATCTCTCCATGCTTTCACCCCTAGTAGAATTGCTTTATATGTCTGAGCTCAGGAGACCCTTGCTCATTTACACAGCCCACCTGCAACCTTGTTGAGCTGTACTTACTGACCCTGCAGGTGGTTATTCTTAGATATCAACTTGCTCTCCTGGACTGCTCTTTGCTCCAAGGTGTTTTCTCATGGATTCTTTCTTCCAGGCAGGTTTCTGAATAGATTTGAAGTCTGCTCAACCTGAAATTTGTGGTTGTAGTCATGCTTTTTGTTTTGCTTCTGATTGTTAGGAGAAACCCTAAACTCCTGCATGCTAAAAGCATCTATAGCCATCCCTTACTGTTTGTTGCTTTTTTTTATTTCTTTTCCTGGACTGCCTTATAGAGGAAAAGCACCAAGGTTCATATACTTATTCCTGGAGTTCATTTTTAAAGATATCTCAAAACTTTTATTTTGCCTTTCTATTACCATCCAAAGCATTGCAGAAATATCTGTTTTCTTCATGATGGAAAATATGGATATCTTATATTTGGTTTATGTCCATTCTGTTATCCCAAGGACTTGCCAAAACACATTTATCTTTTCCAGGGGAGAGATACAGGTACCTGTTTCATTAGAAGCTGATTAGGCCAATAAATTTAGTCACAGAAAAGTAGGCAAATACTCATTAATTTTTTTTTTTTTGTCATATCCTTGGTAGTTGTTTCCACATATCTTTTCCCAGCCATCTCTGTTTCATGATCTGAAGAAGGAAGGAAAGCTGTTATCCTGTCTGAAAGGTGATCCTTTCAGAATTACAGGAAAAAATTAGTCCAACCTGGGTATTAAAACTTTCAGACTCCAGGTGTCCCACTGTCTAAAGAACAAGATAGCTCATTACACACTGTTTCCTTTCTCAACTTTGGTTCACTTTTCTGCTGTTACAGCATCCTTCAGAATATACTGATGTTTTCTTACTCATTTGCAAACAGTGCCTGTGTTTGCTTGGGCAGCTCATACCCAGATTGCAGTTAGAAATGAGTTTTTCCCAAAGGCTTTATTCAATTCTCAGAAAAATGAAACAGTTTTCAACACTTGTGCAATATTTTTATCTATTTTGTATATAGAGAAATTGCCATGTGCATACAGCTAAAGGTTGAAATAATAAACTTAATTATATTCTTAAGGAAATAATGTCCAATTTTCAGTTAGGGTATCTGAATATTGAATATTTTTTCAAAAATTCAACCTTGAATATTTTTACCAAGAGCAGAAAAAATTACTTAATTGGCTTGGCTGAAATGGGATGACTGCTTAACCAGAGTGATAGCTATAGCAATCACCACAAATGCTGTGTCAAGAGTGAGTTGTGTGACACATGCTCTTGGCTCTAGTTGACATGAATAAAGCTATAGCTTAACTCATGACTGGTCTTCAAGTGCCTGTCAGCAAAGATAAATTTGCTATCTGAGTCAATAAAATAAATTAAAATTCCATGGAAAAAATAGGGTTGTTGAACTTAAAACTCCTCATTTGTTTGTACTGTATAATTCCAGGAAAACGTAACATTTTAAAGAGCATGAGTCTGCTTCAGTTTAAACAAGTGATAGTATATTCTTGATGTTTGTAGCCTGTTTTAAAACTTTAGGACAAACAGTATCTTAACAGCATTGTTCATATTGCGCTAATATAAAATATTTATATTCAGTGGACTCTGAGTTAGTGATTAGTTGCAGGTAAGATTAAGCCAAGGAAGCCTCTCACTTGGGGCTCTTATTTATACATGTAAATTACTAAATCAGAGTTGCACATGACTATTGGAAGACTTGTGCTTTCCAGTAACTGATGAGGAGGCTCTGTGCCAATGCTTCTGTCACTTCCTGCATTCAGAGGATGTTGCATTAGACATGGGCTCGTCACGTTGGGTTTTGTGATTGCTCACTGACAGATCCATCAGGGTGTGTGATACAGACATGCCGTGCTCAGCAGAGGAACCCAGCATATTTGTCATGGCTGAGTAGTTAGTGTTCACAGCATGCTATTACACTTTTCCAAAATTTTTTTTACTGGTCTTCTGATTGTCATGATTTCATATTTGTAGCAGGTGTTTGGTACAGAAGTGTACAGCTTTGTCTTTATCCTGGGTAAGGAAGGACTATGTACTTAATCCAAGTACTCCTCACATCGTGGGAATATACAGATACTTTGAAACTGACTTTCAAGTCATGTGGAAACAAAACTTTAGGAGGAGAAAAGGAAGCGGGGAGTTCAGTTTATGTTCCATATAGGCAAAAAGGTTCAAAATCAGGAACTACTCTTCTAGTGTCTCCCTTGTTGTGAGACAAGCAGTATTGAATTGATGGTGGTCACACAGGTGACTCCAAAAATGGAGGCAAGCATCAGCATTTTATTGCCCTACATTAAAAATCATACCTTTTTTCTGTGAATTCCCACAGACAGCAACACTAACTCCTTCCTCTCTCCATAGCTGGCCAACCCACTTTTTTATAATACACATCTCTATTGGACACAGCTGTGACCTATTAAGGGCAAGGCTGCTTCCAATCTTGGGTAATTAGTAGAGCTGCAACTCATCAGTGGCAAGATTGCCCACAGCACCATCTCTATTCTCTTAGAATCCATTCTCCCACGATTAAATAAATAATAAATCCCATAATTCAATATGATCATAATTATATGATTAAAGTATTTGCATTGCAGGTTAGTGTAATAAATTCACCATCCAAAGCAAAGCAGCATTATTAAGATAAGAATTTTGTTTAAAATTTACATGGCTTTTTATAGTAATTAATCTGAAGACAAGCAGCTATAATACTGTTACAGGTTGATATTTCTAAGAGAAAAGTTAATAAAAGCAGTCCACTGAAGTTAGATTGAAGATGTTCTTAAATTTGTCTTTTAGGCTTTCTGTGAAACTCTGGAGGAAACAAATTATCGCTTACAAAAAGAACTGCTTGAAAAACAAAGGGAGGTTGAATCACTGAAGAAATTATTAACTGAAAAGCAACTTCATATTGATGCTGTTGAAAGAAGAATTAGGTATGTAGAAATTTTAAGGGTTTTAGGAGGTTATCTCCATGAAAGCATTTTCTCCGTCTAGTCACAATCCCCAGCTTTAGTTGTATCTTGGAAACCATTTTCCCTACATAACCACAGACAAAGCAATATTTTCAGTAAGCTCTTTCTTGTATTCTGGCTAAAAAGCTATTTAGTACAAATGACTGAGAAACTTGTCCTATCTTTTCCCTCTAATGTAACAGTGATTGTTTTCTAATCCTTTTAAGTCCTGTATAGATAGAGCAAGATTTTGTTCTGCTTTTGAAATGTTGAAAATGTGAAATACCCTGCTAGAGATGAGTGAGAAAATTGCTTTGAGTTATAAAATTCTGTCTGTACTCAAAGCTTTGACAGAGCATAGTGATCAAGCAGTTATATATCTGTAATAATTTAATTTTGTTCTGAATTGCTTGGAATGAGATGCTGCAGGTATCATTTAAATAGCATGGGAGGTTGTCCACTTAAACCCGAGGGAAAATGGTACCTGTCTGCTAAATTCTGTAGCAGGAGCTGTTGATTGATTGATGTTGTGCTATCCATTGTCCCATTAGAGTCAGTATTGCAGCATTTCCTTACCAAAAGAGTGAATTCCTATGGTCCCATTAGAACTTCATAGAATCATAGAATTATTTAGGAACCTTAAAGATCATCCAGTTTCTGCTAGACCAGGTAGTTCAAGGCCCCATCCAACCTAGCCTTGAACGCTTTCAGGGATAGAGCAGTCACTTCTCTGGGCAACCTGTTCCAGTGCCTCCCACCTCACAGTAAAGAATCTCTTCTTAACATGAGATCAGATGAAAAAACATTCCCTCTGCATGTGTGTCAGACCAGAGGCAGTGAAGAAATTTATTAAAAAAAAAAAGAAAATAACTTTGATTTTAATAGTGAATGGGATGCTGAGTCCAGCATATCCAGGATGACTAACAATCACACCTTAAAATGTTCTAGTGAACTACCTTTGGAAAAGGCTTTAAATGGAATTATTGTGGCTGACTGAAAATTCAGATCAGAATACAATATTCAGTTTGTTGCTTACTCCTGAAGGCAAGTAGTTACATTTGGAAGATGCTTCCCCTGTTTGATAAGACAGTTATGACATGCTCCTGCTTTAAATAGTTAAATAGTCAGGAAAAGTTAAATAATTTGCATTTGGCTAAAACAGGATAGGAAATTCTGTGTGACAGAAAATAAGAAGGCATGAATAGCAACAAAGGATTGATATTTTCGTGTTTTTCCCAAAAATAGATTACATTTTTTAAATACTCAAACACTGCTAGTTTCCCAGACAGATAAAGTCAGTGAAAGTCAGCCACATAGTGTCTGAAGTCTTGATGAAAAATAACTTCTGTGCCTTCTGGCTGTAAAAATAAACAAGATCACAAGTTTTTTCTGTAAAGAACTTCAGCTTGTCTGATAGTAAATGAACCCAAAAGAAATATGTCTGTCTTTGGCCTTGTTGAAGTAGAATTTTTATTTGATAGCCCAACAAGAATTAAGTACCTTATGCCCACACACTCTAAAGGCCAGGTACCTACAATGGATGTGAGGCAGAAGGGGACAGCTGGACAAGTCCTGAGACTTGCAGGACTATTATTATTATTGCTGGATTTGGCTCAAACATAGGCTGGTAGTCATGATACAGAATGCTGTTAAGGCTTTATATAAAATGCATGCATTAAAATAGAATAATAACAACAGTAGTTAGAGCAATTTTAAAAGGGAAAGAAATATAGGAGTGTAACTTTAAACACAAGATGGATCACAAGCTTTTGTTTCCAGTTCAAGTCACAGCTTGCGAAATGTTTTGGAAAAAAGGATTTCTTTGGTCAATCTACATGACCATATTCCCATTTGTAGCTAAGCTACCTGGACCATTATCTTGTGTTGCCATTAAGAAAAAAATTGTCTTATTACCAATGGAAAAATTTATTGCTTTGAAATTTAGTGTGTGGTTTTGTAAAGTTACAGTGAAAAAGTATTGAAGAAATCTTTTTGTCATCCTCGTGTCTTCCTTTTTCCTATATTTTGGTTATAATCCTTCTGCCTTTTAGGCAAGATGTGTGTGGCTTAGTCTGAATGTAATTTTTTACCTTGAGTCATACACACTTCTCTGGAACTTGGATTTTGTGATGCTACTAAATTGTCACACAACCAGAGAATGATAAAATGGCCTGGGTTGGAAGGGACCTGAAAGATCATCTAATTCCAAACCCCCTGCCATGAGCAAGGACACCTTCCACTAGACCAGAGCTCTATCCTACCTGGCCTTGAGCACTTCCAGGGATGGGGCATCCACAGCTTCTCTGGGCAGCCTGTTCCAGTGCCTCAGCACCATGACAATAAAGATTTTTTTTCCTAATATCCAATCTAAACCTGCCCTCTTTCAGTTTGAAGCCATTTTCTCTCAGGGGAACAGTCCTGTCAGTACAGGCTCTCTGAATCTTTCTTTTAGGTTCCCTTCAGGTACTGGAATGCCGCAATTAGGTCACGCCAAAGCCATCTCTTCTCCAGGCTGAGCAATCCCAATTCTCTGAGCCTTTCCTTATAGGAAAGGTGCACCATCCCTCTAATCATCTTGGTGGCTCAGAGATTTAGAGGACTGAATTTAGTTTAGGAATAAGCAGCTGGAGCAAATAAACTGTTAAAATAGCTATCCAGTGCAAGCCCTGCCATCTCTGTACCAGTCAAAGAAATGGGGCATGCAGGAGTGAGACTGAAAGGTTACTTTCAGTCTTGTTGCAGAAACTGTCAGGGTTAAAATGAAACAAAGTTCTTCAGTGACAAATGTTTGCTGTATAGATTGGTGGTACTCTGTTCTTATCTGTTGTAGGGATTTATCTTTAGGAAACATGACTCGTCAAATGTCAGGAGAAGAAAGTGAGTGCAGTGGTGAGGTGGAGTCTTCTGCAGTAGAAGCAGACCAGGGTACCCTGGGTGAGGACAGCTGGTAAATACTATTATTTTACTTGTATTTTAGTTATTCTTAAAGTATGTGTTTTGAAATGTTTAGTCTTGCATTAATTCTGCACAGCTGAGAAATTCATCATTTTACTGCACCTCTCTGCTGCATAAAGCCCCTCAGGATAGATAATTTTAGATCTAGAATAAGCGATAAGTTTAAAAAGCTTTGTCAATGTTTTGTGGATTGTCTGCATAAAATGGCTGTAGAAAATCATACCGGTTTCCACTTATTGATCTGTCTTTGCAGCTCAGACAAAGAGAACCACAAGCCATGCTGGAGTGGCTCTTTGGCTGGAAATTCTGTCCCAGAAATTGAAGTTGCTGAAGTTGCCTATACCACGGATGAAGAATAGCTGAGCAGCAGCGGCTGTTATCTGGGAAAGGTCCATGTTAAGGGTGTATCTGTGGGTAGGATCATAGAGTAGCTGTGAAGAATTCACAGCAAAGAGCAAGAATGCACATATTGAATGTTTACATAAATCCTTACAAATTATTAATGTAAGAAATATATCCAGTGCTGCTTTGATTTCAGTTTTTATCTAGCCTTTATGTATTTAATATATTGAAGTCTAATAAGGGCTAAAATCAGCTAAAGTTTAGATAGTGTATATACACAATTTGGCTGACTTTCCTAGCAGAATGACAAAAGGTTTCACATTAAATCATGGAACATATCTAATTCATATTGCCACCATTGTGACATATTCGATGTGTTCCTCTGTTTGGTATTTGTGTTTTCTTACAGCCATAAAATAATGCTTGCTGAAGTAAAAATGGACTCATTTGTGTATAGGAATGGAGAATGTGTTGGTTTTAAATTCTAAAGTTGAAGAAAGTTTCTCTGGAAGTTTTATGCAATGTAATAGGAAAACTTCCAGTACCAAAAGAAAAGTAGTTACAAAATGAGATATAGTTGGACATTGTCAAATGGTCATTTTTGCTGAAAGAACTGATCTGAGACCCCCAAAACACTGTGTATTTTCATCCCAAGATAGCATGCTGTAATACCTTTTGTTCAGTAATGCTGCTTTGAAAATCTGGGATACCTTTATCATATACATTTAACAACAAGATCTATAAATTTGCCTTTTTCTCAGAACACTACCTCTTGCCACCTTGCTAATGCATTCATGTTTGTTTAAAAATATTCCAGATGATATGGAGGCTGTTGAAAGACTTGTAAAGAAGCCATATTTTTTCCTGCACAGTTCATAACTAGATTGAATCTAGTTCCAGTGTATTTTTGTTTCAATATATTGTACACATGGGGATGTTGGTACCTATGTTGTATAGCCTATTTTTCAAAATGTATTAAGACAGGAGATGCACTTTATAATTAAGACTCCATTGTGCCAAGTTTGGTTGGCTAATTGGTTGAGAAATGGGAGTTACAGGGAGAGGATTATGTAGTGCCTTTTTGTATTTTACTTGTTCATTGCTGCAGAATTTTGTTACAGTGCTCTGGGTCAATTCTGTGGAATCTTTGATACAGCATTTTTCTGTTCTTCACTTATTTACTGAAAGTGCCTTGTTTTATTATGCTTTTCCAATAGAAAGAATGCTGTTTTCTTGTTTTGTTTTGTTGGTTTTTGTTTGCCCTATACCACCCACATCATTGTTTAATATTGTCAATATGCAGTGTCTTTGTGCTGGAGTTTTCAAAGGGAGCTTTGTACTTCAGGCTATGCATACAATGACCTTTATGCAGAACTGTATAAACCTTCCTGGTGAAATAAAACTATGGACAAAACACCTGGTTTGGTTTGGGTTTTTTTTTGTTGTTTTTTTTTGCATTGTAGAAAAAAAGAAACATTTTTATTTCCTTGTCAAGTAGAAGGATGAAATACTGCTAGAATGATACATTTCTTACCTCAGAGATTTCCTGCACTTACTCAGCCTTGGTCTGAATCCTGTTTTTACCAAAAATTGTCAGCATGAAAATGAATGAGAATGCTGTCACATCAGAAACCTTGCTGTACTCCTGTTGAAGGTAGAAGTAAAAAAGGAACTGATTTTTTTTTTTAATATCCTACATAAATCCTCATAGATTTTGAGTGAACTCAATATTTAGCACATTATTGAAAATACATGAAATCTTGTGTCAGATGTCACTTATATATTTGAAAAGATCAAACTTTGTCTATTAAAATCTTGTTAGGTTTACAACTGTAAAGATTTTTAAAATATCAAAAAGGTGCTTTGGTCATACATGCCTGGGATTTCTAAAGTCCAGCAGGTGCATCTACAAATCTAGACATTGAAGAAAGGAGTAATATAATTTAGAGTTTAGTCATGAGAGAGCAAAGGAATTAAAACTTCAGGATTTAAAAGATACTTTGCTAACCCGAGTATTTGGTGTTCTATTTTTGTTTAGGGGGCACCTTGTAACTAAACTGAGCTGGAAAAAGTGAATTTGTTCAGTGGCAGTGTGGCATCACTTCAGCTATGTTACTGGTAAGTAATGGTTATGCTCCCTAAAGGACATGCAGAATTTGAGGTGGACAGGCCATTGTGGCCTTGAACATCTTGATCAGGGTTTATTCTAAGTCAATCCCATAGTGAATCTTTTTCTGCTGTACTACTTGCATTCATTCTGGCACTATTTTCCATGTGTTTCCTTCTTTTTTCACTCACTGCTGCAATTTCAGTACAGAAGAAGCCAAGTTTCCAATATTTTCATTTGTAAGACTTGACAGTGGAGTTCTGTGCCCTGCTGAAAGTGCAGAGAAATAATCAAACTGGAATTGTAGCAGAGTGAGCAAGTTTCAAGAAAAACAACCAGTAACAGGTTGTTCTTTTCTGTTGTGATTGTCTTAATAGTTCAGCTACTGATGTACAAGGTTTTCCCCTTAGTTTTAGATTTTAATGCATAGTGCATAGTTTAATCTTATTGGGGCCTTGCTTTTCTTCAATACTGCATCTTTTAATCCTGCAGGATTTTTTATCCTCGAAAGCACATCAAGTCTGCCCACACCACCTCTCTGCTTTTGATTTGTGCACTGCTAAATCAATTAAAATGCTGACTGAGATTTAATCAAGAATGAGTCCCTATAAACTCCCACTCCATACCTTTCCCACTGACCACCATTAATTTGGTATAGAACATACAACACAACATTAGCTGTGAGTACAATAGTCCCAATTGAACCAGCTCAAGGAGGGAAGGAAATGAATTCACCAAACAGAACTTGACAGTAGTAGGAGAGAAGTCTCTATGGTGCACTTTCCAGTGGACTTTTGTGCTCTCCTCTTTGTCTTAAGCATCTTGGTTTTCTGGGGGAGGAGTTGGGGTTTTACAGTTGAAGTGAAAAGGGACCAGGAAAGCTCCTGTTCTAGATGGTGTCTGCCCCAGATGGGTTTTACTCTCTGCAGTGCATTAGAACACTAAGTAATTTTATTTTTTTTTTTCTCTGCAGTTTGTATTCCTTTTTTGAAATGTAGCTACAAAGGAGCAGCATTTCTTCTACTAGAAAAAATTTGATTTTGAGTAGAATTAACTTTCTCTTGGAATTCCATGTGGTTTGTTTGTAGAAGAGTTTTTCCTATGCTAGCTATGGCAGGCTCTGATACATGCTGGCTGAGCGGTGTGGAATTCAAAAAAGTTAAGTTCTGAAGTTGCTGCTACAGTCAGGGTTTTTTTTAGAAATGTCAGATAACACAAATCAATAGACCAAGGTCACAAATCACCAAGGAAGGAAAGAATCCTATAGGAAACTCTATGGAATGCCAGGTCTCGGGGGTCTTTCTATCATTACTTCCTATATTTCAGTTAAGTCTTTGTGCAAGAGATCAGAACAGTCAGATTACTAGAAAGTTCCAACACTCCAAACTAGATACATATTCTTCCTACAAAATACAGAATTTGCTTTAAGGGATGCTTGGATAACTGAACTCTATCCTCACATCCATGTTTGTTTGAATCTAATAAGGAATCTAGGAACTGATCATGCAGCCATCTCCAGAAGATGTCTCTTGTAAGAGTTTGTACTCTGAGCAGTCAATGTACTGACCTGTGTAGTTGGTGGTTCTATATTTTTATGATCCTCAACACATTGTTAATGCATAGGACCTTAACGTTCTAGAGGAAAGATGAGAGAGAATGGAAAGGAACTGAAGGGAAGGAGGACAAGAGAAACTTATCCATAGTTTACACTTGAGCATTTTTCCCCTTTGAAAGTAAAATTTGTTCACTCATTTGTGAACAGAACTGCTTCTCCACTAATTGTTAGTTTGTGTTGTGAGTGGTTTAGGTTCTGTGTTAATTGTAACCCATTCAGGAACACCTTCCATAGCACTGGTGTTTCTTTGCCAGCCTCACTGTGCTAACCTTTATCCCAGTCTTGTTTGTGGTTCAGTCCTTCTCAGGTTCTGCATTGCAAAGAAAACACTGGTCCCAAGGCTTCTGTTCAGTTTTCTTAATCTGCAAGATTTTATTTACCTTTATTTACCAACTATGTGGATTCAGAGGAGTGGAAAAATAGGGAAAATACTAAACATTTAGCATAAACATGTTTTATGTGAAACAATAAAATATTATAGATATCCTTATTTTGTAATAGATATAAATCACAAACATGTCATCCTCAGAGTAATAGTGACTGTTGGTCAGTTTACAGATTATTCTCCAGCTGGGTATATTGTGTGTTATACTAGATATATACTATACAAAATGTTTCTCTTGAAATTTCTCCTTGGGTTGATGAGTTCAGAACCATTGTGATGGTTGTTCTAGAGTAAGGAAAAAGCTGTCGTGAGACATGTCTAAGCATAACTCCGTGTCACTTACAAAGCATCTTTTTTCTTCTGGTGGACATGCAGATTTATGCAGCATCAAAACAAAGTGATATTAGGATTGAAGAATCCTGTTTAACAAGCATCAGGTAGAGTTACACTGATGCTGCCCAGAGCACAGGATGTGCACAACCAGGATGTTTCCAAGACAAGCATTTTTCACTGTCATGTAACAGGAAGGCTGAAGGAGCTCTGTAATTGGCTGAGTTCTGAAATGTAATTCTGCTTAGCGGGATAAATCAGAAAGCCTGATGTGTACATTGTTCTTACTTAAGAAAACAAAACATTTTTACATTAAGTCCTTCTGCAACAGAACAGCACCTGACACTGAAATTAAAATTCAGGAAAGCTAGTGATTTTCTCACTCAACTGGCAAAGCTTCTCTTTGCCCTTTTATACCTTTAACCTGACATTGAGAAAAAGTCTTCAGTGCATTTCTCTTGTGTATATCCCAGATCTTCACTGTTTTCCTGCCCCTTTTTGAATGACTTGTGCCTTTTCTGTCTCATTAAGGATATCAGAGCATCCAGCCCAAACTGGAATTTTGGTATGGCTTGCAAATATTGCAAACTGCAAAGCAGGGCAGCATGACTCCGGAGAAAGAGGAGGCATGGGCATGGGAGTGCTAAGCTTGGAGTAGTAATTTTAGTCCTCAGAAGTCCCTGCTAGCCAGAGCTGAACCCTTTGGCTTTGGGAGACATGTGACATGCATCACCTGTCAGGAAGAGATCACTCCCCACAATGCAGAAACCCTCAGCATGGGTCTTCCTTCTAAGCAGAGGCTGATTAAAGCACTGGCCTAATAAATGGGATTCTGGGATCAACTCTCAGCAGTGGCAAAGTCTCATCTATTGCAAGGGAAGTTAAAAGGTTCTGCACCTTAAGCCTTTGCTAAGCCTTCAAAAGCAGTGCTCCAACCTGTTTTCCCTGGTTTTCAACACAATCTTCATGGAGACCTTTCCCCTTTTAGCCCTTTTAACCTCTTCATGGAGACCCTAAAGGCTTCCTGATCCATATTCAGCACTTGTTTAACTTGAGGATCACCAGAGTGCTCAGCAAACAAAGTTTGTCCCCACTTTGTATCTGAGAGAGAGGTATTCTATTTCCTCTGCTGTGCAAACAAGGAACCTGAGGAAGAAAGCAATTACATGATTCACCGTAATTGCACATTAAGTCAGTTGGTGCTGTCCTAGGGTTACTGCTGATCCCCCTGACTTGTCAGCAGGTTAAAATTAGATGATTTGCTGATCCAGTGAGATTTTTGCCTGTGTAATACAGGAACCTTGTCTTGGGTTATCTCAACTGGATTTCAAGTAGGTTTAAATATAAATCTTTTGCTTATAAATTATTATTTGCTGATCCAGTGAGATTTTTGCCTGTGTAATACAGGAACCTTGTCTTGGGGTATCTCAACTGGATTTCAAGTAGGTTTAAATATAAACCTTTTGCTTATAAATTATTCACTGCTTCTAGATTTGTAATATTCCTTTCTTCTACCAGTTCAAATTGAACACACTAGGATGCTTGCATGTGGTGGAGAAACATGTCTCTGTTTTCTCAATCTGTTTTCTCATGTGTATTAATGCCTTTCATAAAGAAGAAACCACAGCTGCTTTATGGAAACGTTGAGGATGACTATGAAACACCTGGCAGTTAACATGGGTTTATCAAGCATTGTTCATCTGACAAGCATCTACTGGGAGAAGGTTGTACATTGACCTTTCAAGATCTCATTATTTCTTTGCATTGTCTGAAAGACAGATGGATAGACAGAGTGAGCGAGCTTAGGAAGCAGCTGCAACATGTGGCAAAACTACTAGATCTCTCCTTCCAGATTTCCTGTGGCTCCTTACTAGGCATTTCTGGTAACCAGGTTATGGGGTGGATTGTTTGTGGTGTGATGGGAGAGTCTCCATTTCCCCCTCATTCTGCAGGATAAATACAGGGACAAACAGGCAATA